TATTAGTCAAATGTTCATGCAACTTGGTAGCGATCACCTTTCTCTCGGAAGAAAGGTTTACTTTTTTTTTTTTTTTTTTTTTTTTCTGAAGGGATTACATTGGTGATGTGAAATTTGAATCTCAATAATTAAGCTGAGAGATAAACTTTTAACGAGCCATAGAGCCATCAATCCTTAATCTAAGAGATGAAAGTTTAATGAACCATAGAATCATCAAGCCACGAGACCAAAGTGTTAGGAATTTTAAGCACCAGAATCCCACGTAAGCGAAAATGATAAAGAAATTGAGACAACAATTTAATGTGGTTCGACTTATATATCTCTCGACAAGTCTACGTTCACGGAAAAGAAAAAAATAAATCCACTATTAAAAAATATAGTACAATAATTTAAAAACCCTCTCATTCAAGAAGCTCTCAACACCCTAGATTCAATATATAAAAACTCTCAAATTCTCCTTAATACTCTCTCTTAATCTTGACAAAAATTTCTCACAATTTCTCTCTTTTTTTTCTCTCTCAAGAACTCTCCATTAATTTCTCTTGCTTTCTGCCCACTCTTGCTTGCCCATTGCCTTTGCATACATGAGAATTTATAGTGAAAAATACAACACTCATTAAATGGATCAACATGCAATCTTGCATGATTTCAACAAAACAATCCTAACCTACTACTAGCTAGGTTGGTGAAGAAATTTCACCACAGAAAAAGTCCATATGTTCACATGCAAAATCCATGTGTTCACATGGGTTGGAATTTCTACCAACACAAAGTGCAGAAGAAAGGTTTACGTTTTAGAATTGGAAGCCACACTAACATTGCTTATTAGAATTGGTGCGGACTGCACAACAGTTATCTGAAAGAATAATAATTAAAACAGTTTTGATTATTAAAATATAATGTCATTTATCATTTCTTGACTTTCTTGAACTCGAAGCAAAGAGGCAAGAAGAGAAGGGAAAGGTGTGAAAGGGAGAAATCCCTGATTTTGAAAGCTTCAAAATTTCGAAAGGATCATGTTAACTGTAAAAACAGAGTAGATGGTGTGGAACCAAGATCCTTATTGACAGAGAGTTTACAATGAAGGGAGAATCATGATGGAAAAATAATCTGCCTCTTTAGTTTGATCCTAGAGGTATTTAAAGGGTTCCTAATCACAGTTATTCTAGGAATACAATTTTATTCAATTGGTGTTTGGGTATTCTTATCCTATGGGATTTATTCTATCCTTACTTTGATAGGATTATCTCTAGATTGTCTCCACATGTCCTAATTATCATAGGACTTGTTTTAGGATATAACATTTGCCCCCCAATGAAGAAGTTTGAGGATAGTGAAAACTTCAACAAGTGTCTGTCTTTTTCATTGCTCTATTGATCTTGGTTTTGAATTCTGCGCACGTTCCCACTTTTTTAACCATGACTGCCTCGTTAAAAACCTTAACTAGAAAAAACCCTGTGGGATAAAAATCTAGTTTAAGGAAAAAAGAGTGCAAAATAGGTTTTTCCTTTGTGATTTCTGGTGCAGTTTCCTCATTAAAAATTTTTGCTGAAATTAATTACTCTGTAGATTTGTGTTGATTTGTTCAGGTCCTTTCTTGATTTTTCCATATATTCACAGCTGTATTTCCTGGATTTTTCTACTTTTTGGCAGCAATTTTGTGTACGTGGCCCCCGTTGTATGGCTTTTTTGGTACGGCCGGTCCTTTTGGTTCAAACCCCTATTTTCTTGGGATTTTATGCAATTTATCCTTTTGGCTAGATGGGGCTTTCTTTGAGTTTCACGATTCTTCCTTTTCTTTTTTGTTTGACTTCCTCTTGATTTCTTTTTGTCTTCTCTTGCTTTTCTCGATTCTTCCTTTTCTTTTTTGTTTTCTTCTTTTTGAGAGAAAATTTCTTTAATCTTGTGGTTTGATCAGGCCGATTATCTTGTGATGGTTGTTAACCCCTCTACTTCCGGTTCTATTCTGACTTTTGCTTCTGGCTCTGTTTCGGTCCTTGCTTCAGGTTCTATTCCGGTCACTGCTTCTGGCTCTGTTCTGGTCACTGCTTTCAGCTCTGTTCCGGTCACTGCTTCCAACTTTGTTCCGATCTCTGCTTCTGGCTTTGCTCTGATCTCTGCTTCCGGCTTTGTTTCGTCCTCTGCTTCCGGCTCTGTTCCGATTTTTGCCTCTAATGGTTCTTCTGTTGATGATGCGGGTGTCCTTCCCTCTTCTTCTGAGCCGGAGTTCTTTGATATTTTTCGCCTTCCCCTCAATGCGGATGGGAAGTTTGTTGTGAAGGGCGCTTTATGTCATGTGGAGAAGGATCCCGTGGTTCCTTCCATTCCTACAGAGGTTCCTTTGATTTCTTCTTCAAAGGGTGGAAAAGTTGTTCTTCCTCTAGGCTCGACGAAGGTGTTCTGTGATCTTGACAAAGTGTCTTGGGTTACCAGTAGTTGTGATGTGGATGAAATTAGGGAGATTTATAGAAAGAACTTGATGGATCTGCAGGTTTTTCTTCCTCAACATCCGGTGGGCCGCGCGGCATTTCAATGCCTTTCTCCTGATATGTGTGTGTACAAGGATCAATTTGCATGTGGGTTGTGTTTTCCTTTGCATCGTTTTTTCCTTGAGATTTGTGATGAATTCTCCATTAGCCTTCCCCAATTGGCTCCTCGTGCTATTACTTATATTGTTGCTTTTATTGTGAGATGTTTCCTTCTCAGGATTACACCTACCCGTGAGCTTTTTTGTTTCTTTTTTCATTTAAAAATTGTTGAGCCCACTGGTAGTTGGTATTATTTTTCGCGTAGAGTGCTAGAGTTTCAAGGTGTGGGTGATAAAAAACGTCACTGGGGTAATAGTGTTTTTGTGGATCCCTTGCCTGGTTATGATTCCAATAATTAGCATAAGAGGTTCTTCTTTCTGAGTACCCCTAAGGATGTTGATTTTCCTTCTCTCTGGCAGGTCCTTCGTACTACTATTGTTGAGGTTCTGCTTTCGGTAGATGATTATAAGGCTGTCCATAAGTTTGTTACCGAACCATCTGTGAGCATTGCAGAGTTGATTGTTCGTGAGAATTTGATTGATGCGGGTGTCTGGGTTCCTGGTTCTTGTGACTCCTACTCTGATTTTCTTGTTCCTTTGGTTCCTTCTAGCTTTGAGGGTTCTCCGAAGCCTGAACGATCCTTAAAACGGAAGACTAGTGAAAAGAGTCCGACTGCTATTCCTAGTTCTTTTCTTGGTTTTGCTGGTATCTTTTTTTCTTTCTGCTTGGCTTTTCTTGATATTTTCTTGTTTTTTCTCTTCTAGTTATATTTCTTTTGTATGTTTCAGATGGCATAAATACCTTTGCTATTTTGAGTCGTTCTGCCAAGATTGAAAAGCTTGAGAAGGTTGATAGAACTGTGAAGACCGAGAAAATATTGGCTGAGGAAGTTGAGAAGGCTGCTGGTAAGTCTAAGGGGGTTGTTCCTCAAAGGGCGCCTTTAGTTGTGAGGAGGTCTAAGAGATTGAAAAGTACTTCTTTTAAAGCAACTTCCACAAGTGGTTCTGATAAGGGTGTGGCGGAGGGTTGTGTTATTGAGGTTGATAAGGAGGTTCCTGCTTCCTTTGTTTTTCCTGATGATGAGTTGCAACAGTTCTTTTCAGAGGGGAGACTCTTGATTTCTTCTTTTATGGACTTTATTGTTAGGAAAAGCTTTTCTAAGCCTTTGACGAGGTTGCCTTTGAAAGATGTCGTCCGCCCCGGTATGACTTTTTCTTTATTGTCCTCATGTTAATTTTCTTTTTCCCTATTGGTTTATTGTACCTTCCTTCTTGTGCAAGTTATGATATCGGCTTTGAGGGTCCTTCCATTATTGGGCATAGTTCCATTGCCCGCGAATCTTCTAAATCCATGCTGTTGGCTGGTGACAAAAATTTGCTTTCAAATTTTCCTTTGGAGGCTCTTCATGACATGGCCGTTCATCATTCTACTAGTGTATGTGTTTTTCCTTCTTTGTTGTGGTTGATCCATTGTTTTTGTTGCGGTTTTATTTTTAATGTTTTTCTTTGCTCGTGTTTTAGGTTGTTGCTGTACTATAGCATATGAAGGAAATTCTCCTAGATAAGGAAGATTCCTCTTATCGTGCTGCTGCTGATTTGTCTGAGATGCGGGAGAGGAGCAAGGATCTATTAAACTTGTGCCGCCAGCTTCATTTTGAGAAAACAACATTGAGAGCTAATTCTATCGAGGTTGAGAGGTTGAAGAAAGAGCTAACTATGCTCCAGGAATGTTATGATTTGTTGAAGAAAGAGAAAGAACTTTTCTCTTCTTCTACTGCTGCTGAAAAAGCGTCTTTGGAGTCCTCTGTTTTGGCTTTGCAACGACAGTTGGGTGATCTTTCTTCTGTGAATTCTGCTTTGGAGAGGTCCGTCTCAGATCTGAAGGTGCAGGTTTCCTCTCTACAAGCTTCGTTTTCTTCCATCATTCAGTCTTTTAAGGAGTCTCTTGAAGGTAAAGCCTTCGCTCTTTCTAGTAGTTTGGGTTATTTTAATCTTGCTGTCAAGCTTATCAAGTTGCTGCTCCCTCGTCGTGGGCTGATTGTGTCTGACCGTCTTGCTGAGTTTAAGGATATGGATGTTGCTGCATTGATTCATGCTGATCCAGATTTGAAGAGAACTTATGATCAGGGTCCTAGTGCTATTTTTCTGGATGATTCTCCTAGGCAAGCATCTGAAGGTACTGGTAGCTCCTGGGATGTGGGAGATTCTGCCATAGCTGTCTATAGCAGGGGTAGCTCTGTTGATGTGGAGGTTTCATAGGGTGCCTCCCCTTCTTCGCCTGCATAGCGAGCCTGGGAACTGCAGATATATTGGACTTGTTTTTTGTTTGTCTTGGGTTTTTTGTCATGCCTTGCGTTGTGCTTCTTATCAAGACTATATATATGGAAAATATGTTTTCTTATTTTCTGAAATTTGCCTTAACCTCTGTGGTGCATTTTGCATGGCTTTTATTTGGGTATTTATGTACATCCAAATTTGCTCGCAGCTTTTTGCTTGTCTGTGTAACTTCTGCTTGGGTATTTAATGTACATCCAAACTTGCTCACAGCTTCTTTTTGCTTGCGTAACTTTTGCTTTGATATTTATGTACATCCAAACTTGCTCGCAGCTTATTGTTGGTCTGTGCAACTTCTGCTCGGGTATTTAATGTACACCCAAACTTGCTCACAGCTTCTTTTTGCTTGCGTAACTTTTGCTTGGATATTTATGTACATCCAAACTTGCTCGCAGCTTATTGTTTGTCTGTGCAACTTCTGCTTGGGTATTTAATGTACACCCAAACTTGCTCACAGCTTCTTTTTGCTTGCGTAACTTTTGCTTGGATATTTATGTACATCCAAACTTGCTCGTAGCTTATTGTTTGTCTGTGCAACTTCTGCTTAGGTATTTAATGTACACCCAAACTTGCTCACAGCTTCTGTAACTTTTGCTTGGATATTTATGTATATCCAAACTTGCTCACAGCTTATTATTTGTCTAACCATATTTTTGTTTTATCTGGATATTATGTGTTTGCTAAATTTCTCGTTTTATTCAAATGAAAGTCGCAATATTAATGGAGAATATTTTACAAGATTACTTTCCTTTGCTTACTGGTGGTATTTCTTAAGGTGCACAGCATTCCAGGTCCGTAGGATTATTGCTCCAGTGGGGCGTATCAACTTGAAGGCTCTGTTGCCTAAATCTTCCTTGATGAGGTATGGTCCTTCCCAGCTTGAGCGTAGCTTTCCTTCTCGGGAATTTCTTTCTAAGACCTCTGCTTTTCTTAGTACCCAATCTCCTTTGCATAGGTTTTTGGGTTTTACCTTGCGGTTGTAATATTTTTCTGCTTTTCTATGGTAACTTGCCATTCGTATTTGCGATAAGTTCCTAACTTCTTCTAGCAAATCTAGGTTGGCTCTTAAGGTCTCTTTGTTTTTGTGTTCATTGTAGTGGCTGGCTCTATGCGTTGAAATTCTGGTTTCTACTGGAATGACTGCTTCTGTTCCGTATGTTAAATTGAATGGGGTCTCACCAGTGGATGTGCGGTACGTGGTTCTGTAGGCCCATAATGTGTATGGTAGTTCCTCTGTCCATGCACCCTTTGCCTTTCCTACCTTCTTTTTCAAGCTATCTAATATGATTCTGTTGGCAACTTCTGCCTGTCCATTTGACTCTGGGTAAGCTACTGAAGCAAATCTCTGCTCAATTTGTTCTGGTGTTTTTCCTTCATTTTCTAACTGAGCTTTGATTGTGAATCGTCTTCCAGATTCTGTGCTTGACAGAATTCTTTGAAAGATTCGCTTGCAAATTGGGTCCCATTGTCCGTGATCAGGATTTTTGGTGTTCCAAACCTACATATGATGCATATTTTTACAAACTCTTCTATTTTTTGTTCTGTTATTCTGGCTACTGCCTCAGCTTCTACCCATTTCATGAAGTAGTCTATTGCAACTATAAGGTACTTCTTTTTTCCTTTTGCTTCTGGGAAGGGCCCAACGATGTCCATCCCCCATTTTGTGAAGGGCCATGGAGCTGTCACCATATGCAGAGGATTTGAAGGTTGGTGTTGTATTCGAGTGAACCTTTGGCATTTGTCACATCTCTTGACGTACTCCCTTGTATCCATCTTCATGGTTGGCCAAAAATATCCTTGGCGGAGGATTTTGTATGATAGTGATTCTGCTCTTATATGGTTGGAACATTCTTCTTCGTGAATTTCTTCCATTACGATTTTTGCCCGTTGGGTGTCAAACATCTAAGCCATGGCTGTGTGTATGATCTTCGATAAAGATGATCACCAAGGATTGTATACCACGTTGCTTTTCTTTTCACTTTCTTTGCTTCTTTCTTGTCTTTAGGTAGATCTCCATTAGAAAGGTATCTTTTGATTGGATTCATCCAGGTTTCTTCTTCTTCTTCTTCTATCTTTAGGATTTCTTCTTCAGATATTGAGGGGGAGCTCAGTTCTTCAACGTATATCTCTTTTCTTGATTCTATGACTCTTGAACTTGCTAATTTGGCCAACGCATCAGCTTTTGAATTTTCGATTCTTTTTATATGGTGCATTTTGTATCCTTTGAATGGTTTAAGGAGTTGCGCAGCTTTTTCTAGGTATTTTGTCATTACTGTTTCCTGAGCGTTAAAATTTCCTTTTATTTGGTATACTACTAATTGTGAATCACTAAATACTTTTATGTACTCTGCATTCACAGCTTTTGCTAACCGAAGTCCTCCCAATAGAGCCTCGTACTCTGCTCTATTGTTGGATGCCTCAAATGTAAACTTTAGTGCGTATTCAAAGGTTTCTCCTTCTGGTGATGTCAGTATGATTCTTGTGCCACTCCCATTTTCACTTGATGATCCATCAACATGGAGGACCCAGCAAAGGTCTAGCGAAATTACCCTTGCTTGCTCTTCTTCTATTTCTGATGATTGTTGTTTTTCGAGGGGTGTTGGTAAAGGTGTGTCAAGCGCAGCTTTTTCTTCCTTACTCAATTCTACTATGAAATCTGCCAAAATCTGCCAAAATCTGAGCTTTTGTAGCTTTTCGTGGCTGGAATTCCACATCACATTCTGTAAGCTCAATGCTCCATTTTACCAGCCTTCCTACTAAGTCTAGTTTGTGCAATACATGCCTCAATGGATAATTGGTGAAGACTATAATTTTGTGTCCCAGAAAGTAATATCTGAGTCTTCTGGCTGCTATGATTACTGCATATGCTAGTTTCTCTAAAGGTGCATACCTTTTTTCTGGTTCTTGCAGTACTTTGCTTACGAAGTACACAGGTTTTTGCCTTTTTTGTTCTTGCCTGATTAAAGCTGCACTAATTGCTTCTGTTGTTGCCACTATGTATAGGAATAATGTCTCTCCGAGGCTAGGCTTGCTAATCAAGGGTGGGGAGGCCAGGTATGCTTTTAATTGTTCAAAAGCTTTCTGGCAATCTCGTGTCCATTCAAAGTTTTTCTTTCCTCGCAGGATTTTAAAGATGGTTAAACACCTTTCTGCAGATTTTGATAGAAATCTTCCAAATGCCACAATTTTTCCCGTAAGGTGTTGTACTTCTTTTATTGAAGTTGGGGGTTTGATTTCTATTATTGCACACACCTTTTCTAGATTTGCTTCAATACCTCTGCTCGTCAACATGAAGCCTAAAAAGTTTCCAGCCCTTACCCCGAACATACATTTAAAGGGTTTAATTTCATGCCATATTCCTGTAGTATGCTGAAAACTTGCTCTAAGTCTTATGGATGCTGATCTAGACTTCTGCTTTTTATTATTAGGTCATCGACATATACTTCTACACACTTTCTTTTCAACAACACAAAGATTTTGTTTGCAAAACGCTGGTATGTTGCTCCTGCGTTTTTTAGGCCAAATGGCATCACTATGTAGCAGTATGTTTCTCCTGCCGCAATGAAAGCTGTTTTGTCTTGATCCTCTTCTACCAGTGGGATTTGGTTGTATCCGGAATAAGCGTCACAAAAACTGAGTACTTCATATCCGGAGGAATTGTCCACTAACTCATCTATGTTTGGTAATGCATAGTTGTCCTTGGGGCACACCTTATTAAGGTCAGTGAAATCAATGCACATGCGCCATTTCTCATTTGCCTTTTTTACCATGACGACGTTAGATAACCACTCACTGAAGTTTATTTCTTTTATAAATCCTACTTCTTTTAATTTCTCTATTTCTTCCTTTATAGCTACGGTTCCTTCGGCTCCAAATTGTCTCATCTTTTGCCTGACCGACACAACTTCTGGGGGTACCCCGAGCCTATGGCATGCGACTTTAGGGTCTATCCCAAGCATGTCAGCTGCACTTCCTACAAATGTACCTTCATTCCTTCTTAAGCATTCTTCTAGTTTTGCAGTAAATTCTGGGTCCATATCTGCTCCTACATTCGTTGTTTTGTCTGGATTTTTTGAGGTGAGTACCACAGATTTGGTGCGATCAATGGACTCTGCTCGTTGTTCGTTTATACCTTCTCGTGCATCCATTGTATTTACCATCAATGCTCTTCTTCTCCAAATGTCACCTGTTGCAATTAAATCCCAGGCTCGAGACTTAGGCCGCAGTTTCCGGGCTTCTGATTGTTCAAAGACTTGTGCTGTGACAGTTTCCTGAATTTCTACAAATCTTCCTCTTGCTACTCCAATACCTTTTGGCATAGGGAATTTGATCATCATATGGCTTGTAGAGATTACTGCTTGTAAGCCATTCAATCCTGGTCTTCCTAAGATTGCATTAAAAGAGCATGGTATGTCTACGACAAAGAAGTCCAAAGTTACCACAGCTTTTTGAGCAGTATCGCCAACATGGATAGGTATTGTGATGATTCCCACTACTGGTACCTCCTTTCTCGACGGTCCTACTAATAGGAATTCACAGGGTCTTATAAGTTGTGCTGAGAATCCCAACTTTTTGAAAACTTCATGTGTAAGTATATCTCTGCAACTTCCTATGTCTATTAATATTCTTTTTAATATTTTTCCTTGCCGGAGGTTTCTGTCTTCAACTATTACTTGTATCATTAAGGGTTCATGAGGATATACTTCCATTTGTTGCAGGTCTTTTTCTGGAAGCTGATTACCTCGCTTTTTCTTAAGAATTCTTTGCTTCCAGTGTTATTGGGGGGGTTTTTTATTTGCTGCGTACTTAAGATGGTAAGCTTACGATGTTAATGGTCCCCACAACTTGTAGTGGCTATTCTTCTTCTTTCTTTTTTTCTCCAGGTTTTTTGTGCTGATCATTCCTATTCCTGCTACCGTCGTTTGTTTTAACGAATTTCTGAAGTGCTCCTCATCTTATTAACCTCTCAATTTCTATTTTCAATTGTCTACATTCCTCTGTATCGTGTCCGTGTTCTCCATGAAAGGCGCAAAATCATGTCTGATCTCTTCTAGTTGGGTTACTCGCCATTCTAGCCGGCCATTGAAGCTTCTCTGTCTTCTTTGCTACGTTGAAGACCTCTGTCCTGTTGGTGTTTAAAGGTGTGAGTGTTGTGTATCCCACAAATTCTCTTTGCGTCCTGGGGTGTCTTTCCCTCAAGTTGTATCTTGACTGTTTTCTATCTTTGATACTTCTATTATCTATATCTTTTTCTATTTTTCGCTTTCTTCCTTCTTCTGAATTTGATGTTTCTTGTGCCTCTTTTACTGTCAGCCTTTCTTCTACTCTGAAGTATCTTCCGCCCTTCTTAAGAGATCATTAAGGCTGGTGGGCTCTTGTTTGTTTAGAGATCTATAGAAACTTGAGTCTTTGAGTCCGTCCATTAGAGCATGCATTGCCACGCTTTGGTCCAATCTTTCTACTTGCACAGTTTCGTTGTGAAATCTTGCTATGTAGGCTCTTAGTGACTCTCCTGTTTTTTGTTTAATTGTTAAAAGATGATAGTTGGTCTTTCGAGGAGCTCTGCTGGCCGTGAAGTGATTGATGAACATATTCGCAAATTGATCAAAGGTCTGGATAGATTTTTTTGGCAATGTTGTGAACCAAGCTTGCGCAGCTTTCCTGAAAGTTGTTGGGAATTGCTTGCATAATAGAGCATTTAAGGCTCCATATACCATCATTGCCATTCTATATCCTTGCACGTGTTCCACTAGGTCTTGAGTTCCATCGTACTCAGCTAGCTGCAGAGTTTTGAAGTTTGCTAGCACAGGTTCCTTAATGATGTCGTCTATAAAGGCTTTTTCTACTGAAGCTATGTGTACTGGTTCTGCATACCTCTACCTGCCTGCTTCTATTTTTGCCAGATGTTGTCGCAATACCTCAATTTCTTTGTAAACACCGTCATCATGAACCTGTGTTTCTGTTTTTTGTGCACCTGCTGCCATGAATGTGGCTTCCTGGACTTGTTGGCTAGCCTTCCTTTGGTTTGAATGTGTACGAGGTATCATGTTTTTACTCCGAAAATTGTATTGAGTGAAAGTTGAGGATGGTTATAAGCTCGTGTCGATTGCCAACTCTGTCGATCTTGAAGGTACGTAGCTTTCATCTTGATTGTTGTTTCCTCGTGCTGAATCTTGCTCCTTCCCTTCAAGTGTCCTGGCGTCACTTCATGATAAGCATTCTCGTTTAGCTTCTTGTGACGAGGTGTTTGTAGCCTTCATCATAGATGCTATGGCCTACTTGATTGCTTTTAAACTTTGCCTTGTTTCTTCCATGCCTTGTGTAAGTTTCTATATTTGTGATGCTACCGTTGAGTCTGATGGTTTGGCTTTGTTGACAGTATCTCTTGGATTCGTGCTTGATGAAGAGGAGTTGCTCATTCTAGCTTTGCTTCTGAACCTGGGGTGCTTTTGCTAGGGGGCGATGAATTTTTTGAATTTTTCATGCGATATTCGTGGATCAAAAAGAACTCAGCCCCACAGTGGGCGCCAAATGTTAACTGTAAAATTAGAATAGATGGTGTGGAACCAAGATCTTTATTGATTGAGAGTTTACAAGGAAGGGAGAATGATGATGGAAAAATAATCTGTCTCTTTAGCTTGATCCTAGAGGTATTTAAAGGGTTCCTAATCATAGTTATTCTAGAAATACAATTTTATTCAATTGATATTTGGGTATTCTTATCATATGGAAATTTATTCTATCCTTACTTTGATAGGATTATTTCTAGATTGTCTCTACCGGTCCTAATTATCATAGGACTTGTTTTAGGATATAAAAGATCATAACCATATAATTCTTTGAAACAAAATTTTATTTCAGGGTCTCGATTTTGGTCGTACAGACAATGAACTCCTCCTCCAGCAACAGCACAAACAGCGATAGCAATAGCAGTAACACCAATTCCGGCGGTGTCAACCGAGATCTGGACCCGTACTTCCTGGAACTGGCTCGGCTTGCCTCGTCTCCGACTCCCACCGATATGGACAAGGATGAAGAGGCGCCAACGGAGCTCAATACTATTAACAGCTCCGGTGGGCTCATTTTGGTGGCGCTGGATAAGCTGTCGATGAAGTACACGGGCAGGGGCCTCCATTCGCACGATGTAGGAGTCGCCCAGGCCAACAAGCCGGTGCCTATGAAGCGGCTGTTTTACTACTTTGAGATTTACGTGAAGGATGCTGGGGTTAAGGGACATATAGCCATTGGATTCACCAGTGAGAATTTCAAGATGCAAAGGCAGCCCGGGTAAATTTGGGGCTTTTTTTTTTTTTTCATTCTTTATTATTAGTTGGACTGTGTTGCTTCATCATGGAGTTTGCTTCTATTCCTATGCCTGGTAACTGAATCTTTTGCTTTAGTTGGTTGCTGGAAAAAGAGAGAATAAAAATTGGAAATTTTCAGGGAATTTTTGTTCGTGGTTTGATTATTTGTCCTGAATTTATGTTAATTTTATTGGCAATAAAAGAAAAAGCTTCTTGTAATTGAGGGACCATAGATTGTTTCTTGTAATTTGGTTTTGAATGGTATCTTGAGAAGTGTACGAAAGTGAGGAAGAAGATGCAGACAGAAAAAGAAGGGGATTATTTGGCCATTTTAGGAGATATATAATTTATCTTGAGAACCTGTCC